CGCCGTGAGGAATCAACCGCAAGGTTGGAAGTAGACGAAACGCTGAACACACAATTCCACAATTTCACATTTTGACCTCCCGGTTACACTTTCTCGCGCGTAGCCATCGTATGACACGATCTAAACACGCTGGACCGCTGCAAAGACGGGAGTGTCGCCGATTTTTGTTGTCGTTCTCAGTCGGCATACGGCGCGACTTGGACACGGCAGAATCGGAGACCGCGCCCGCCTCTAAGATCTGGCAGTCGCTGGTTCAGGGGCAGTGGCTACGATCGCGAGGCCGTGAAGCCGGAGTGCCGTGAATATGAACTTGTGGAATTCGGCAATCCATGACCGCCCCCACTCCCATCCACCGAATGATGGGTATCATGTGTGCATGTTGCAAGGAATAATGTATAGGGATCGGGCCGTCCGCGCCAATGTCGCCGACTCTGCCGCCGGTTTGCTTCGCCAGAACGAAGCGCGACGCGGTGGACTCGGCGACAGAGGGACGTATATGCACGCACGCGCTGGTCTACAATCTCGCGCAACGGCCTTCTGTGGCGGAATGGAACTTGCATGCCGTGAAGGCGGATTGGTGAAACCGGACGAGCATGCTTGTAAAACTCACAGTCATGATTGATCTTCTGCTCTGCGCTCGACTTGCAGTAACCCGAAGATGTGTTTTGACAGACATATTGGAAGTATTCGGACACTTGGTCCATCTCGTGTCGTTTGAGGTCGGTGACAATGACGTAAATTTCATCGCAGCCGCGATCGTGCATGCCGCGGAGGAGCATGAGCTCTGGGAGCTGCGGGAGTTCATGGGCCAGTACACGCACGACCACACGGACAGAGACGTACCATGCTGAAGATAACAGGCATCATAGTGAGGCGCTTCATGGAGCGGTGGTGGTAGACATGGGTGACCCAGGTGCGGTCGAGGGGGATGAGACGGCCGGTGTCGACAGTGCGGGTAAAGATGTTCTCAGGGACGAAGACGCCTTTGTTCCAGAGGAGGATCTGGTCGCGGCGTGCGAGCTCGTTGGCGGCGTGCTTGCGCTCGCGGACGCGCTGGAACCAGTCGTAATAGGAGTCGGGCGGTGGGGGGCGCTCGAGCCATTTGTCGATGAGCATGTCGGTAGCGTCGTTGTCGAGCT